TCTTAAAGAACCAATTCTTTTAAATTTTTAAATTTTTATTTATTTAATTTTTGTTCTTCCTAAATCTGGTTTGTACTGTAAGGCACTGGTGTCAACAGTGTCTTGCATATGCATAAACCAGAAAACTAAGGCTCAGTGAGACCAACTAACGGAAACTACTAACTAACAGAAAATTTAAAATTTAAAATTTAAAGCAAACAAATTAAACTAAGAAAATAAAATAAAATAAAAAACAAATAAAATAAATAACAATAAAAATATTAAACTAACAAAGCAAAATAAATGACAATAAAATAAAATGATCCAATCTATAATTTTATAAATAAAATTAATGTTGATTAAATCAGTCCCCGGCAACGGCGCCAAAAACTTGTTGACGAACTCGGCAAGTGCACCGGTCGTACAAGTAATAAAGTGATAAAGTAGAGTTGTCGATCCCACGAGGACTGATGACCAAGCAATAATCTATTTATTTAATTAAATTTGGATCGATCATTAAAGGTTTTCTTGAGAATATTGTGATTAAAGTAAAAACAGAATTTATAAACTTATTTTTGGTTTTTAATATTTTAGAAATTTAATTCAGAATTAATTAAAGCTAAAAGAAATTGATTTAAGTTTTCAATAAAAAGGCGTAGTTAGGATTCAACTTCCCCAATGGTTTCTTAACGTGTTTGTCTATTCTCACGATTACATGCAAGATTAAATTATTAAAAATTCTTTCTATGATTGATTAAATCCCAATCCCTTGGTAATCCAATCCTTTACTTTAATCCAAAGCCTAATCCCTTATTACTTTCTCATAGAATAAGCATTAACGCAAGAACTCAAGTTATAAAATTCACAAGTCTATCCCTAGATCATGCAAATTCCAGCAATCAACCAATCAGAATCACATACCAACATCCCTATTGTCATATGTGACTCGTATGTTTATCTACGAGTGATCAAGTCATAAATAAAACTAATCATATATATCCGATTGATTGCATAATTCAGAAACAAGAATGTAATTCATAAGAATAAACAAACATCAACTAAGAACCCATTGGTTCTGTATCTTCCTAACTACTGAAAGTAAATTAGCTAGACATAATTATAAATGCAGAATTGAAATAAACAGTAAAAGAAATAAGGTTCATCGTAAAACTTGATTAATGGAGACAAATAATGATGCGAATTGCATTCCTTTCTTCTCCTAAGCAATGCTCCAGCATTCCTCTTCACTCCTGCCTTCGTCTTCTTCTCTGACTTCGTCTTTCTCCGCGTTCCAGAATCATTTTCACAGCTTCCATCGCGTTGTATTTAAAGGGAAAATATGGGCTTTAATTTCCTGGATTCGCTCGCTCCATCGGCCGCCTATGCTAAGAACTTTGCGAGCTGCTCGCCCACTTGCTCGCTTTAGCTAGGAACTTTGCGAGCAGTGGAGCGAGCGTTACCAATTTTATTTTATTTATTATTTAATCTCTGATTTCCCCGTTGCTCCGCGTATTCGTTGCCTCATTTTGTTACTTTGTTATTCCAGTATTCCAATCTCAACAACCTGAAACAACAACAAATATTTAAAATTTGTTTATTTGTTGGCAATTCATTCTGTTTTACTGTTTTATTGTTTTAATACTATATTTTTAACTATTTTAATAATTATTTAAACTCTTTTTAGCCATAAAAACATAGTGTCTTAGACACTTATCAACTGTGAAGGTATGAGACTGCACAGTTTGGGATAGCTTATAAGAATTAATTGGTACTACCTATACTAACAAGATGCATATTCTTTTTGGTAGCCCAAAATGGAAGAACTCCTTAGTTAAACGTGCTTGACTTGGAGCAATTCTGGAATGGGTGACCTTCTGGGAAGTTTTCTCGAGAAATGTGCGAGTGAGGAAAAAGCACACTGAAAAATCTCGTGTTAGTATGTGGGGATAGTCGTTGATTCTTGAAGCGGTCGGGCGTTACAAGTGGTATCAGAGCAGGGCCTCTCATCCAGTACGGTGTGGTTCGAGGACGAACCAGGCGAAAGCTGGTGGGCATGTAACATCACGAGTGCTGACGAGGGCGAGGAGTGATTGCCGGTGCAAAGAGGCAAGGACAATGAGCGGCTCCTGACAGGCTTCCAGCGGGGGGTTACATGCATGAATGAATCGAATTGACACCCGAAAGAGAAGGATTCCAAAGACTGTGCAGGTATGAGACTGCACAGTTTGGGATAGCTTATAAGAATTAATTGGTACTACCTATACTAACAAGATGCATCTTCTTTTCGGTAGCCCGGAACGGAAGAACTCCACAGTTAAGCGTGCTTGACTTGGAGTAATTCTGGGATGGGTGACCTCCTGAAAAGTTTTCCCGCGAAGTGTGCGAGTGAGGAAATAGCACACTGAAAAGTCTCGTGTTACTTTGTGGGGATAGTCGTTGATTCTTGAAGCGGTCGGACGTTTCAAGTGGTATCAGAGCAAGGCCTCTCATTCAGTACGGTGTGGTTCGAGGACGAACCTGGCAGAAGCTGGTGGGCATGTAACATCCCGAACGCTGACGAGGGCGGGGAGTGATCGCCGGTGTGGTTTGAGGACGAACCAGGCGGAAGCTGGTGGGCATGTAACATCCCGAGCGCTGACGAGGGCGGGGAGTGATCGCCGGTGCAAAGAGGCACGGATAAGGAGCGGCTCCTAACAGGCGTCTGTATGTAAATTGCATGCATGAATGAATCGAATCGACACCCGAAAGAGATGGATTCCAAAGACTGTGCAGATTAGGGTTGGCAAAACGGGCCAACCCGGCTTGACCCGGCCCAACCCGCATTCAACCCGTAAAAATCGGATCGGGTTAGGGTTGGCTCGAATAAATGAACGAGCCAGAAAACCCAACCCAGCCCAACCCGAGCCGGGTTAGGGTTGGCTCGATAATCAGCTCGCGGGTTGGCTCAGAAAAAAGCTCGCGGGTTGGCTCTAGGAGAAGGAAGAAGATTCTGAAGAAGAGAAAAAATTCTAAGTGTTGAGCGCTAAAACGTTCATCCAGAACGTTTTAGCGCCCTGCTACTGAAAGAAGCCAAATGCTGGTCTGGAGCGCTAAAACGTCCATCCAGAACGTTTTAGCGCGCTGCTGCACGTCAAAGCCAGAAATATGCAGGTCTTCAGCGTTAAAACGTTAAAGCTCAAACGTTTTAGCGCCTTGATGCTGGAAAAGGATTCTGGTCTTCAGCGTTAAAACGCTCAAATCAAACGTTTTATTTTTTTTAATTTAAAAAAAAATATCCAACCTGCGAGCTGGCCCGTTTAACCCAAGGGCTGGCTCGTTTGGGTCTGGGTTGTATCGGGTCGGGTTGTATTGGGTTGGCAGCTCATTTAGGTCAACCCAACCCGACTCATTTAGGACGGGTTGGCTCGTTTTTGCCAACCCTAGTGCAGATATAAGACTGCACAATTTGATATAGCTTATAAGAATTAATTGGTAGTACCTATACTAACTAGATGCATCTACTTTTCGGTAGCTCGGATCGGAAGAACTCCACAGTTAAGCGTGCTTGACTTGAAGCAATTCTGGGATGGGTGACCTCCTATGAAGTTTTCCCGAGAAATGTGCGAGTGAGGAAAAAACACACTGAAAAGTCTCTTGTTAGTATGTGGAGATTCCATTGCACTCGTAGTTTGGGGAAGGAGTGGGCTTTAGGGGTACTACTAATTAAGTTAAGGGATCACAACCTGTATCAATTGTTTTTTAGGCCTGATTCAGTCATTGTGTAGAAGATATATGCACTTGTTGATTTGTTACAAGAATCAAATTAATGGAAAATATTAAATAATCTTTAATCAATATTTTGTTAAATAAAATTTACACTATTATTAATTCTTAAATGAACGACTTTTAACTGAATTCCCTCAAATTTTCCAGTTGTGTACATGTAGTGTACCAATTAGTAGTACAAGTTGAATTAATTCAATTCAAAAATTTAAGTTGTTAGGTAATAATTTTTTTATTAATTTATATTATTTTCTAATACATTCATTCATGTAAGAGTTCTTTCGATTTAAGACGTAAATATTGTACAAGTTTATTTTTTTATTATTTACTTTGTGCTTATTTAATTTAACTAGAAAGTTAAGGCAATAAAAATCAAACTCGTAAACTTATTATTATTGAAGTTCTAATACTATATAATGAACCGATTGAATTCAACATAATAGCCGGTTTATATTATTCCCTATTTCAAACATATGTATCATGGTCTGGAAGGAATCTAGAAAGTGTCATTTTTCACTTGACATAATCTTTTGGCCGTAGGTGGTGACCGATTCAGAGAAACGGTAAGACATATCGTCTGCACATTAGGAGTGTCAAAATGGATTGACACGACATATATTTGATACGATATGAATTTGACACGACACGAGTAAATTATCACGAACATGACATAAATTTTTATTAATGACAAAATCTTCAACACTAACACAACACGAATTATTTGTAGATTGACACGACACGAATAGCATCCCAAATAGGGGTCATAACGGTAATTAACAAAATAAATTGGTTGAAATCAAAAAATTTAAAAATTAATAATTAAAAAAAATATAGCTCAACACGAACACGAATACGAATACGAATACATCAACACAAATACGACACGAATTTTTTACGAATCATTTTTTTTAATCCGAACACAACACGATTTTTTTTACGGATCAACCCAAACATGAATTTTAGTGTCGTGTCGCGACCGATCCTATATTTAACCTTTATTGCCACCCCTGATGCGGACAATAGTCACCGACATTGTTTTTTCTCTATATGAGATACGTGTCTTATCCTTGGCATGCGGTGGTGCCACCTTACCTTGAGCTTTATTTCTACTTGTAACATTCCGTGCATGCTTCCCTACCTATAACTACAAACCCCAAAATTTCATTGTTCTGCATGACAACATCCTTCGATCTTATAATTAATTTTTCCACACTTTCCTATCCTTTGCTTGAATTAATAATCTAAAGCACTCATCAGTGATGGACCTTATTCATAAGTTCCTGAACCTCGTAGCTCCTCCAATCACCTTCGTTTCGCTCTTCCTTTTCCTACCACCTTATTGGGCTTTCAAGTTCTTCCTTTCCACCATAAATTCCATCTTCACTGAAAATGTCGCTGGTAAAGTTGTTCACATCACAGGTGCTTCCTCTGGCATTGGAGAGGTAATCGATCCACCCCAAACTAAATAATAAATAAAAAGAAACTAGCTTATCGATCTGGCATAGATTTTCAGTTGTAAGAGTAACCTTTGTATTTTAATTTTTGCAGTATTTGGCATATGAGTATGCTAAGAGAGGTGCTTGTCTAGCACTTTCTGCAAGGAGGGAGAATGCACTGCGGGAAGTTGCTGATAGAGCGCGTGATTATGGATCTCCTGATGTTATCGTAATACGTGCTGATGTTTCTAAGGTTGAAGACTGTAGACGATTAGTGGAAGAAACTCTTCTTCATTTTGGAAGATGTACGTGTGACCTTTCAAACCAATTCATTAATCATTTATCTTTGTGTCGGGGTTTTAGTACGTCACTGTCGGGGTTTCTTTGTGTTGCAGTGGACCATCTGGTCAATAATGCCGCAATCAGCACTTCCACCTTATTTGAAGAAATAGATGATATCACCAATTTGAGACCTATAATGGTAATTGCTCATATATGATACATGAATAAATCCTCAATCATGTTATGTGGAAGTTAATTAGTGGGAATCTATATATTTTGTGTGCTCCCAGGAAACAAATTTTTGGGGATCAGTTTACACTACCCATTTTGCTTTACCGCATCTAAGGAACAGCAGAGGCAAAATCGTGGCCATGTCATCTGCAGATGCTTGGTTGCCTGCACTCAGAAGGAACGTGTATAGTGTAAGTGACCATACGGACAAAGTAATGATAAATAAGTAGGGCTTTAATCTTATGTTTTGAGATAAATTAAAATTAAGTGGTGAGCGTAACATGATATATGAATCTATATAACATAAGAGTAAAAGTATAGGGCTAAAATTAATCTTATGATCTATCTCTGTTTTCATGAATTGATGTTCAATTGTTCTTATTTATTTAACACTAACACAGGCAAGCAAAGCAGCATTGATGAGTCTGTATGAAACATTGAGGGTGGAAGTTGGGTGCGATGTAGGTATAACCATCGTGACACCCGGTTACATAGAGTCTGAATTGACCAAAGGGAAGTTCTTATTGCCCGAAGGCAAGATGGGTGTTGACCAAGATTTGAGAGATGTAAGCAAATCTTCTGTGCTCATCAATCTCATTTTTTAAATTTTTCTTTTCTTTTTCAAATTACATTTCACAGATTTTCTCTTAAATGATGAATTGCCTGATATTTATTTTAACTAATTCTCTGAATTATAAGTCTTCTTTTTAGGTAAAATTTATAACCATTAGTTTTGATATTTAATAAATGTATTTTTGAATTAATTCTTAACTGTAGGTTGAAGTGAGCGTAGTGCCAGTGGGGTCAGTGAGTGGGTGCGCCGAAGCGATAGTGAATAGCACGTTGAGAGGAGATAGGTACGTGACGGTACCTGCATGGTTCAAAATGACATATGTGGTGAAAGTGTTGTGCCCAGAGCTGATGGAGTGGAACTTCAGAATGCTGTATAAGACTGCACCAGGAACTCCAGCAAAGGAAGCCCTTAGCAAAAAGATTTTGGACGCCACTGGAGTCAAGAATTTGGTTTATCCCTCTTCAATCCAATCTCCTGATGTCAAGACTGAATGACTCAAAACATAGAACAATGAAAAAGTTTGTATATATTTGTGTATCTTATGCTTGTATGGTTCTTCTTATGTTGGTTATCTTTTTTGGATCTTTTGTTCTTTAGGCAGATGTTACCGTGTCATGTGAATAAAATGGATTAAGTTCCTCTGTGCTCTTCAAAAAATATAAAAAAAATTTGTAAGAACTCTCAACTTTAAAAATATTTATTTTATAACAAAATAAAAAAAATTATAAATATAAACCTTCCATTTACACTTGGCCTTCATAGACTATGAAACAATAGTCACTGGTCATTTAACACGTGTGGTGTGTAAGTACTTCTATAAAATAAATATAATTCAATTTGGTGCAATTTTTTTTTCAGCTCCTCTGCACTCATCCAGGTGCAATTGTACCTGTAGATGTCAATTCATTGTAAATGCAATTATAATTGCAAAGCCTCCACACACATTTCCTGCTATATGCAGGACACATGTTTTGTCTGCAGAAGCAGAGCTGATTGCTGAGCTTTTACCGGCACACATTTCCGTGCTTAACATCCGAGCATGGGTATATTATTGCTTATCTATCTATTAGATATGGCATGCGCATAACACAACACAAGCAGCAGTGGGGGGGAAAAGAAAACCCAGAATCTAGTCTAACAAAATCAGCTATAGCTAACCATACCATAGCAACAGTAAGAATGACATTTCTTTTTTCTTTTTGTTTTCATCGTCGCACTGAAATTGCACTAAAAATATTTTCGTACACCACAAATGTCATTGTTCTGCTCTAGACTGCAGAACCACTCGGTTTTCTATGAAAAATAAAGACAATGTGACCCTCAATCTATAGGGAGAGGCATCAAGGCTAGAAATCCGGTCATCGATTCGGTCGACGTACATATTAAAAATATATAAATATATCACTTAATTATATTAAAAATTAATTTAGTATGCATATGCAATTTATTGGGTCTTTTCTTAATTGTGACTAGTTAAGAAGCCCCAAATATGTCCAGCACTCACTAATCTGTCACTAGTTCCAGTGACGATTTCCATTGTTATTGCTATCATAGTCATAAGGGATAACTAGTTTGCAACTTAAACTGGTTGCATATTGAGGAAATTTAAGGCTTTCAAGTTGTGAAAGTATTCATGGATTAGGATTAGGGTTTGTAGCATTCACAAATCGTCTGATTTCTGAATTCGCTAGCTTTAAAAAATGTTCAAGAGAATCGTGAAGGGAAGTAGAAGTCAAACGAAGGATCCACCTAAGGGCATGTATGGTCTCACGAGGAATCGGGTGAACGAAAATTATATGATCAATGTCACTTTGATAAATAGACAACAATATTATATTATCAATGTCGGAGCAAAAATTAGAAAATAAATAACCTGCAATCGGATGTTGCGAAACCTTTCCTAATCGGATGTTGTGAAACCTTTCCTAAGCTTCGGTGAGGCTGAAGCCACTATTGGAACTGATTTCGCGCGTCTGAAGCTTTGCTGTTGATAAAGCCATCAAAGATGTCTACTCAATGCCTCCGCCTTACATAGCAAAGCTCTTCCATAGTTTATTTTATAGCTCCCAATTTTTTGTTTTAATAAACAGTCAGTTGATCCAAACCGGATTGATTGGGTAACTGATCAAAATGGCTGCTCGAATCAAGGAATCCAGTCACCAAACCCAAGTTGATCCCATCGGTCTGAGCCAATTTTTTTAACACTCCTAAAAATAGATGGCAAGAGTAATATTACATGGATTAAGTGTCTTATACACGTATTGACATAATTGCATGCTAACTCAACATTCTGACTTGATGTTTTTGTATTTACATATGCTTAACATTTATCTTATGCATAACTCTATAGCAAGAGAGGAGAGGATCGGCAAATTTTTGAAATATGCGACATTTTTTTAGTAAAATATAGTGAAAAAAACGTGAATTTTCTTGTGTAATTATCTTATTAAAGTTAAAAAATAACTTAAAACTATGTATAAAAAAAAAGTTAAATTATCCTCGACTTGTTTTATTGATATGTAATATATTAAATTAAGAAAGATTTGAGTTCATTTAGACAAATTGTATAGATTGTCAATATATAATTAATATATCTTTATTTTAAATATAAAAAACTATACGATACATAAAATAATAAGGAAAAACTTCAAAAATTCCCTTACAAATTTTCTCAAAATCACTTAACCCCCTCCCCGAAATTTTTAATCATTTACCCCTTACTTAAAATTTCTTTATCACTTACCCCCTAATTTAATTTTTCATCTAAAATTTTGTTAACTGAGTTACATTTTTTAAAAGTACCAAAATTACCTTTAATAGAAAAAAGAAAAACATAATTTCCTCACAAACGCAGTTTTAGCCAAACTCACGTAAGCAAGACATGAATGTAAATCAACGAATGAATCCTCCTCTACTCTCAACGATACAGAAAACAACGAAATAGCACCTTCTGCATGTTTGCTTGGAAATATCATATGATTAAGAGAAAAGCAAGGCATATATTAAGCACAGAACGTAAAGCTTTTCAGTTGCTGTGCAATCAAAATAAAGTTCGGCTTTGAATAAATTTATAAAGTCATATGTGTTGGTCATATAATCGCATAAAAGCTTATAACAAAAAAAGGAAGATCTAAACCTGCTGAGACGATGCCTCTTTAATCATTTTATTTGAATAACGACACCAACAATTGTGAGTGCGGTGTTTAATAACAATGAGATTTGCAAGAAACAATGTTAATAATACTAATTCTAACAAGGCTTTCTTAAAGAAAACATTTCGTGAGTTCGTCTAAAATTGCGTTTGTGAGAAAATTATGTTTTTCTTTTTTATATTAAGGGTAATTTTGATATTTTTTAAAAAATTTAATTCTCTTAACAAAATTTTGGATGGAAAATCAAATTAGGAGGTAAGTGATAAATAAATTTTAAGTAGGGGGGCAAATGATTAAAATTTTTGAAGAGGGGGTTAAGTGATTTTGAGAAAATCTGTAGAGATTTTTTTGAAGTTTTCCCAAATAATAATATTCATATGTTATTTATCAATTTAGTCTACAATTTATATAAAGTAATTACAATATTATATACAGTTTCCTCACATTAAGTTGAATCTAGCGCTACCATGTATCCAGTTCCGGAAAGTGCCGCGTGTTGCTTCCTCTCCATGCAGAAGGCCAACGTTGCAGACCAACACATTGTCGTTGGCCATTCAAATACAAAAAGTATTGTCTTTGTCTTTGTCTTTTCAGTCTCTCTCACGACCTCTAACACACCACACCCAGTTTTCTTTTCTCCCTGAGAGGCCCAACTGAAACCATGGTTTTCATTCATGGGATCTTGAACATTCTAGTTCCCCCTTTAGGCCTAGTTTTGCTGCTCTCCATTTTACCATCATATCTGTTATTCAAGTTTCTCTACTTTGTCGTAAGATCAGTGTTTAGTGAGAACGTAGCAGGAAAAGTAATACTAATCACTGGAGCATCCTCAGGCATAGGCGAGGTTCTCGCACATACCAAGGTTTAAACCTTTTTAAGTTCAAACTATGTTTCTTATATCTAAGTGGAATTGGTTTCTCTTTGTTTTCCTTTTATGATTTGTTTCACGAAGCATCTAGCATATGAGTATGGTAGAAGAGGAGCACGTCTTGCTCTTGTTGCCAGAAGAGAGAATCGACTTAAGGAGGTTGCTAGCAAAGCCATGTTGCTTGGATCCCCTGATGTGATTACCATCCCTGCAGATGTTTCAATAGTCCAAGATTGCAAACGATTCGTTGACTCAACACTCAACCACTTTGGACGATGTGAGTTTTACTTTTATTAACACATGTCATGATTTTGGTTTCTAAGTTTTATGGGAACGTATGGTTAATCACTTGTTAATTGTGTGACCTTCCTTTTGTAGTGGATCATCTGGTGAACAATGCAGGAATAGTTCCTCTGTGCTTGTTTGAACACTCCACTGATATCACTAATTTTGCACCCGCAATGGTAACGAATCTAGTGGATTGAATCATGAACAATTATATTCACATATCGCGGCGAGACTGGAGATGGGAATCCCCTTCATCTTACTTACAGGAATATACGATAGTGATATGTGGGATCCTTACAAGACAATCTCTCTCACATTGTTCTTACAGCTTTATCAGTAGTTTAATACAAACAATTATAACTCAGAATAAATGCTTGACAAAGAACCACTCCCACACTCTCCTTATTATCAAAATAAGAACTTTTTTAATTTCATATCACAAACAAAATCACCATGAATTATCTTATATTAATTATAATTCAAGATATGTATGAAAATACGAATGACTCATGCAATTGCAACTCATTTTCAGTAGATGACTCTTTATTTAACAGGACATTAACTTCTGGGGTTCAGCGTACTGCACTTATTTTTCAATCCCACACCTCAGAAAATGCAAAGGTAAGATCGTAGTCATAGCTTCTGCTGCTGGATGGTTGCCTGCGCCAAGAATGATCTTTTACAATGTAAATACACAACCTCATCAAGAAGCTAAGATTTTGTTAAGATATCTTCCTCATGTCAATAACCAGTTGTTAACCAATATAATTTATAGCTTTCAAAATCTTCAGGCGAGCAAAGCAGCAGTGATAAGCTTTTATGAGAATCTGAGAACGGAATTGGGAAGGGACATAGGAATAACTATAGTAACTCCAGGGTTGGTTGAGTCAGAAATGACCCAAGGGAAGTTCCTATCCAAGGATGGCCGAATGGTTCTTGACCAAGAAATGAGAGATGTAAGCTACCTTTACTTTCCATATGGCAATTATTTTGTTCTCTTAGCTTATGACTCATTTTTTTCTTTTCTTTTTGCTTACTCGGCAACAGGTTCAAGTTAGTTTAATGCCCATAAGATCAGTGACAGAAGCTGTCAAAGCAATAGTGAATAGCGCTTGCCGTGGAGACTCGTACTTGACCGAACCAGCATGGGTTAGGACGACGTTCTATTGGAAGATATTTTGCCCTCAAGTATTAGAGTTATGGAACCGCTGGCTACTAATCTCGGGGTCTTCAGAGAGAGATACAATTAGCAAGAAGCTACTTGATCTAACAAGCTTGAAGAAATATCTGTATCCCGAATCAGTCAGAAATCCCAAGCTCAAACCCAACTAAACCATAAATTTTATATGCCTTTGAAATCTAGGTCATGAGTTACTTCCACCGAAGAATAAATAAATAAAAAATAAAAATTCCTTTATGGTGTCGGGCATGAAGAGTTACTGCTGATTCATAAGGTAGCCATCCTACAAGTGACTTTGTAATTGCTAAGGAAACAGTTCCCAAGATTCCTTCCTACTCTTTCTCTTATGGATTCTTGAATGACTTGTTCAGCTGTCACTTTTATGTTCTGTTTCATTTTGATGTCTTCTAGTTCAGTCAAAGAACTTATTTTACCTTTCCACATTTTAATTTGCATTCGTATTCATTCCGATTCGGCAGTTGTCGATAGCACTACCCTAATGAGCAGTACTTTGAGAACTAACACAGGTTAGGAGCACATTATCCAAACTGAATAGACCGAATAGGAGAGGTGCAAACAGTTACTACTAGTCTTCAGAATTGTTTCCAGAGATCTACACGTGGCTATTTATTTAAATGAGGTGATGAAAATGTCGGTAAACTTTCCAAAACTAATTAGCTTAAAAAGTAGCAAAGCTAATATCATTGAAAGGAAATTTACACCTACAAATTAAAATACCAAACAACTGTTATATGAATTCATGAACTACAAGGCATCCCAACAAAAGAAACAGACATGTCATCCTACAAATAAACCTCCAACGGGAATACGAATGACGATGAAAAGATGCAAGGCTAATTCATGCGTCCCGTATAGTGTATATACCAGCCAACCCTTATCACATACGTTATCTTGTTTCTTTCCTCCTTTTCCCAATAATCATTCATTATTTTCACCAATGTAGGGTATTACTGCCATTTAAGGTCCACCAATCACGATGTTTCTTCTTCTATAGAAACTGGATTGAAGAGAAGGCCCTTCCTTGTTTTGATGAAAAAGAACACCCAACATTTTATCGTCTTTTCCCTGGACCTGTGCATACAAGGCCTTTCTTACATTACATCTATAGACTATAGGTCAACTTCGAACCTTCACCTCAGGCCAGATGGCAGCACTCAAGTTAGTTAAGCACCTAACGCTATCTCATAATGCCATATTTCCAAGTCCATCTTACTTATTTTAGGAACCGAGGACTCGATGATTTTGGTGAAGTATGGAGACAAGCTTCTTTTTCATCTTTGAAAATGCAAGACCTGCAATAGCATATTGCCATTCACATTATGTTTGCTTGGTGTAACAATTTTGAGCCCAACTCTGTCCCAGCCAAATTATGAAATGCTGGTCATTCGGATAATTACGGGGATAAATCAATTGGATTTGAAGGAAAATGTTATTCAACTTGCGCAGGCTGAAGAGACTTCAGCCTTCTCAGAAGTAACCATGCATCAGTTTGAGGACAGCCTTGACACATCTCTAGGGCAAGAGGAAGGGAAGATTTTTTATTTAATTCCACAAGTATTATACCCTAGAGAGAAAAAGCAAGAAGAAGTGAATTAACAGAATGAAGAAACAATTATTCATTTGCAGCTAATTCTCATGGTTAACAGCATACAGCTTGCAGGAGTCTGTCAGATTCCATTATGTCCACAGAAAGAGATATTTGTATTACCTCAAAGTTAGCTAAAAAAGCTTGGAATTTACGCATTGTCTCCTTCATGTTGTGGACTATTCTCATGTCAGAAGAAGAAAGAGCCGCGGTGACCTCCTGAGGAGAATAACCAATTCCTTTCTGCACAACCTAAAAAATTCTATCATTGATTAACTTAGTACGGTAAAAAGATATAGCCCACATAATAAAAGCTCAAATTCAAGATCAAACTCACATCATGATCAATGAGGATTTCTGAAATAAGGCTACCATCATCTACATATGCCTGAAGCTCGTATGTTGTCCTTTTCTTATACTGGAATCCTTTTACACCAGTCAAAAAGCACTACAAATTTTTTTCCATTTACACTCAAGAAAAATATAAGATTGCAAAAACTCAGAAGAAAACATCAGTAGTAGAATTACGACATGCTCAAGAGAAAATTTCATCCAAGACTCAATTTCACTAGAGAATACCAGTGAATTGCCTGATATTCAAATCTAAGAAAATATGAAGCTTAATATAAAGAGGAGGGAATACAAAACATGGATTCTGCTCCAAGTACTTGAATTTGACAACATTGTAGTAAAACATGTTGGTAGTTAGGCTATTGCAACCACTCATTTAGATGAAGACTCAATAGAATCAATTTGAATACTGACACATGCACAAGACATAAAAACACCGCCCAAAGAAAGAAACAGTACATAGTTTTAACTTTTTACCTTAATTTTACCCTGAACCAAAGGAACTTTCTCCTTCATTTCAGCCCACTTGGTTGACAAACTAGCTAAGTATGTGAAAGGAACTTCTTGGTTTCCAGACAGTATGAGTGGGTGGTCACTGGCATCAACCATCTGAATATCATCACTGTTTGAAACAGTGGAGGAGGATCCTCTTGAAAGAGCATTATCTGTGATTACATGAATTCTACCACTGTCTGTCTCAACATTTTCAGCAACAGGAGAGCAATTAGTAGCCATAGAACTTTCTCTAGTCACGTGAACAGTATCTTTATGTGCCACTGCAACATTTGAAAGCATATGAGAAGATTGATTGCCAACAGAATTTTCCCTGGTGATATTAGCAATATGTATATGCATCTCCTCAGCCTTTGCAATGATAGAAGAGTACTGGTTAGTTATAGAATTTGTGAAGGACACAGGATTGGTATCCCTATGCATATCCATATTCATGGCCTCAGCATTTGAAACCATGGGTGGTGTTGAATTGGAAGCAGCATTTTGTGCACCCATGAGCAAAGTATCTTCAGTTGTTAAGCGGTTACCAGTGCCAGTCATGCTCAGGCCAGCACCTGTAGTTGAACGCATGCATAGAGAACACATGAGAACAAAATCAACAAAACTAATATAGAGATTGGCAACATCAAAGGTATACATCTTCATCCACACAAACATACATAATCCATATACTTCTATCTGTAACATGAGGATGTACCTTGGTTGTTTGCCTGCACAAAATCAGTATTGTGCAATGTGGAGGCACTCCGCCCAAGATCATTAACTCCATTTGAAGGCCATGCAGCAAGGGTTGCTCTGGTTGCTAAAGGAGGAAGCACTCCATTTTTGGTTCTGCATGAGGATAATGAAGACTAACTAATCAAGGTTTCCCTATATACAGTAAAATCACAAATTATAACAGTAGAAACAAAGGAAAGTTTACACCAATGCAGCTTCCACTTTAAGATATAACTTTCCACTGCATATTTTAGTCCAAGTAATCCTATTGTGATAATTTGTAAATTGTACCTTTTTCCCCTAGGTGGCTTATTTAATTCATCAACCAGCCGCTTTCGTGCTGCATCCAACTGATCAACTAATCCCCCCAAAACTTCTATGGTTTCAGGGACCAGCATCAAAAGTCCACGACGCACATGTACATTAGTGATAGCAACCTACAAGTATCGAGTAGATCAAATTCATCTCTACTAACAAGGAATATAAGCAAATAAGATGAGTGTCACATGGATGGCAAAATTGAAGGGACAAACCAAGAGAAAGCCACAAGAAAAGAGGAAAATTAAGATTGGGCCGCTATTTATTTGAATGAAACATCAGCACCACCTTTGTCCCGAACTAGTTGGGGGCCTACAAAGCTTCATATACCAGAAGCACTAAATTCGCTAAAAGCATTACATCCAAGTCCAAACTAGTACAATTTAGAAATTATTTATCTGTTTCTTCTGCTTTAATAAAATATGCAAAATTAATCCAGTAAGCACGAGTTTAATACTCAATGTAGAAAATAACTTATTTCTTAAATCTTAAGGCAAAAACATAAGCATTGCTTTGGGCATGTTTTGCACGATCCAAAGAATAAAATAACTCTAGCTAAAGCTAAATTACAGCCATTAACAGTAATACTACGCAATAATACCCCCCCCCCCCCCCCCCAAAAAAAAAAAAACAAAAAAAACAAAAAATAATCTTAATAATTCAACCATAATCTGCATTTATTCAAGAAAAATATTGAAAAGTGTTTTTCTGAAGTGCACCATGTCTTTGCATTCAAATTAAAAGAAGGGATGGAAGCAGAGAAACCTTTAAACCAGCAGATGCACAGACTTCAAGAGCTTTAATGGGCCTGTACTCCATTCCAAAGACTCTCTGGATACCATCAGTCATTGACAACTTCAGGCACCTTTTAAGTCCAGGAGGGGCTTGTTGATATCTGCCTCGAAGAGGACAACTGATATTGATTATTTCATCAACCTGCCAATGCAATCCAGCGAATCCACAGTAAATAAAATATCGTGATGAAAAATGCACGCGTGCGTATGAGATTTTTCAGGTTCCACAAATAAAATTGAATGTGATAAGTAGTAGAGTTCAATTCTTAAAAATATAATATTGGAACCCAAGACACCATGATAATCGAATGTGATAAAACAAAACAAACTAAACAAAGCAACACCTGTAAAACGTAAGGACCAGGGAGAACACGAAGATGCATGGAATCCACATTGGGAGGGAGAACGCCGCTCCCACAGAAGTTCATATCAGCAAAGAGAAATTGCTCGAAACAGAGCTTGGCCTTTGTGGTGACATCGAACCCTTCGAAGCCCCTTGTGGAGCCCTGGAGTTCACGAAGACAAGAAGCTAGCCAGTCTCTCTTCAAGCACAATCCAAGGCGGCAAAGATAATCGCTGATGGGACAGCCTGGAACCGGAGGCGGCGAGAGGTTATCGGAGACGTCGATGAATTCTTCGTCGTCGGAGATTTCAACAGGCTCGGAGGGGAAATTGGTAGGGTTTGGAGGTTGATGTGTAACTGTGACAGTGACTGTGTGTGGCTGTGGCTGTGGCTGAAGTGCGTCTTGTATTTCATTGTCTTGGTCTTCTTCTTCTTCTTCTTCTTCGTCGTCGTCCAGCCTGAGGCGGCGAATAGGCATTTTTGCGCAACGAAGGAAGCTATGCGGTGCCTCTCTTTCCCTCTTTCCTATCTTTCCCTCTTCATAAAAAATGGAGGGAATGGAGTCTATAGGCTATAGCGCATAGGGTACTTTACAATTTACATAAAGGCATAGGCATTGTGTTTTTATTTTTCAAATCAAATAAAGTATAAATTCGTGGTACATTATCACTATAAAAGTTTATCATCTTTATAACTAATTTAATTATCATTAATTTTTATTAATTTAACAATTATAATTTATTAAAAATTAATAATTAATAAGAGCAACTCAATAATTTTTAATAAATTATAATCGATAAATTAACAAAAATTAATGATAATTAAATTGATTGTAAGGATGATAACGATAATATATTCTATCCCTAAATTCTTATGTTATTTTTTAAGAAATCAAAACATAACCTAAATTATTATTTGAAACTTTACAAACGGAAAACCAAGCACGGTATATTACTAGTCGAAATGCTTATATATTATTTTCTCTTTTAGTTTATTTTTTTTTTACCAGCTTCAAAAGTTACTAAAGTTTGTCACTTTATCTAAAATTTACTACATATTTTTACACGGATATTTTAAATTCCTAAAAATGTGAGATTGAGAATATTATTTTCTCACAATTGATAAAAGGAAATATAAAATTTTCTTGAGAAAACTACAATTCCACATTTTAAATTACACGTGACAATCCCAACCCAAAAGATGTAATAAATACAACATATTGTAGTTTAAACAATAATATGCTGAGGAAAAAAGTTAATATGCAAGATGAGGAAATTTCTAGGGAACGTTTGGTTTAGTAAAAAACATTTGAATATTAGAGATATATAATTACTAGGGATATGATGAAAACTAAGTTTAGTAGGGAAATATAAAAAAAGTTATTTGGTTGAAACAAAAATTACCGGAAAATTTAGGTTAGATTTATAAGTCTATGTTTGGTTTGAGGTTAAATATTAATGGAAAAATGAGTTGCAATTACCAAAACAACCCTTTATAAAAAATTTGAATCACCAAATAACCCTTTACCCGTATTCACTTTCGCGCTTTAGACTTGGTTTAGATATTCAGTCTGTCTGCAATTAGATTAGGTGAGGGTATGTTCGTCAGCAAATTGTAACTTTTTGTGCCATTTAGTTGGACAACTCGAAATACCACATCCAAAGTGGTATTGTGGGGGCGTCTATTTGGTGCAATTTTACATGCAAACAGGGATGGCTGGTGGAATAATTTTAGTAATAAAATATTGTAATTTGTTCAACCAAACATGATATAACTAGATTCCCAAATTCAAATGCCTATCTATCTCCTAAGATAGCTTTTACCAAACACAGCCTTAAGGCATTTATGTCATACTACTGATCCGGTGCAACGGGTCAATCAACACAAAAAAAAATGAAGTGTTGTACAGAGAAGATATCTTTTTATTTTTAATCCAAGTATAATTTTTTAAATGGAGATCACAATGTGCCTATTGCACAGAAAATGGTCTCCTAAGATGGAAAGCACAATCATACAAATTCCAATATAGTAAGGGTGTTCATCAATCGAACCAAACCGATTCAAACCGTGATGATCGAATCGAAAAATCGATAACCGAATAAACTGAAAATCGAAAAAAACTCTGCAAATTTTAATTGGATTGGATTGATTTTTTGATTGATTGATGAAAATCGTTCAATCCAAACCGATCTAATATATTAATTATACTGTACCTACTTTGGGCCTTTTCCTAATCATATCCTAAAAATTTATAAACCCAAGACCTATTAAACCCTTAACTAAACCCAATAAAAAATCTAGTCACATCTCATCAACAAAGTTTTATCTTTGTAGAGTTTCATATCTTATTGTAAAAAAAAATAAAAATATTATTGTTTACTGATGCTTTTGTATTTTAAAAGAATTATTCATTACAAAGGCAATATATACAAAAAAAAAATGTTATTTGCACAATAATCATGAAATAAATTTTAGGATTTTCAAAAAATTGAAAATCGATCCAAACCGAAAAAAATTATATTGGATCGGATTTGAAAAAAGTCTAAATCGAATGAATGAGTTACATGATCAAACCAAAGAAATTGGATCCAATGATTTTATTTCCAAAACCCAGATCGCGAACATCCTACAATATAGTACAATATAGAAAATCATGGGTTACCAACCTCAGTTATAATTGCTGTTAAATGTTCAATCAACTTTTGGCAGTTGCAATAATAGTAGCTCTTATACCCAATGTCAAAGGTATGGGTAACAAAAGGCCCATTAGCCCAAAAGATAAGTAATATTGATTTATTTCATTTTATTTTTGGCGGGAGGGGAGAAAAGAAGGTAGTGTGAGAAACCCACTCAAAAAATTGGCATGAAAGAGCGCGCGCGCGCGCCACAGTCTTATTACATTTCAGGGCTCTCTTTCTTTCCCTCTCTCATTTCCCATTCACAATCACTTTGATTCCTTCTAATTGTACGGTTCCTCTCATCTTCAGCTTAGGGTTTTATTCTCTCTCGCAGCAATTCATTTTCATGTCTCCCTCTCTCTCAACCATGACTTCGAAAACCTTAGAAGATGATAAACCTCAAGGGGAAGAAGCCCTAGCTGACGAAGACCAGAGCAAACAAGAAGAAGAAGAAGAAGAAGAAGAGATGGAGGATCGTGCTAAAGTGAAGTCAAACAAGTCAAATAAAGAAAACGATCCTACTACACCAACAAGCGAGAGGCCAAGTAGGGAGAGGAAAAAAGTGGATAGATACACAGTATCGTCGCCTGAAAAGTTTCCGAGGTTTTCCTCCAGAAAAGCTTTATCAATTGAAATGGTATATATAGACACAGATGCGCATACGTATATTTTTCTCCTCGAGTCTTTTTTCTTTTTTCTTTTGGAGATTCAGTGTTTTATTTCTCCACAGTGACAAATTATTCTCAGTTTCTTGAGGATTGAAATGTTGGTTTTGATCGTGTGGATCTCTTTGGGTTTCAGGGCCATGGTACGCAGCTGAAGGACATCCCAAATGGTACGCTTAATTATCATTCTGACCTGCTATTATAGCATGGTTTTATGAATTTTTAGGCCCGTAATATTAAAAATCATGTGATTTTATTGATGCATTATACTTTCTCTGGATATCTTTGTTTGCAATTGCATTATCATCTTTAATTTATAGATAAAGTAATTATGAATATTGTCCGAGGTATCGCCAGATTAGGTTTGGGGTTTTAGCATTTGCATATTAAAGTGCTCTTTTGGATTATTTCAAGTATAACATCCGTAGTAAAAATAAAACAATAAAATGGCCAAGTGATAAAACATGATTATAATTTGATACTAAGTTATAAAGAATCAAAGATTAAAGTTCATCACCAAAACAGATGCGGCAGCCTGAAAATGTAAAATTCACAACAGAAAGACCTAAACAGACTTGATTAGAAAACCACAAGGGTGCACCCATGGAAACATCATCAAATTCAATACCATAAATGTTGTCGCTTTCATCTACTCCTCCATTGGGTTTATACCATTCACTTCAGTATTAAGATTTAAGAAATGACTCTGAGCCTTTTCTGATGACTTTGCTCGTGTTAGCCTTTTTATTTGACTTATTGTGTTTTTACTTGCTTCTTCAACAACAGCTTCTCTTGCTACTAGCCCCGTGTCAATACTTTATTGTCCTCACCAAAATGAAGTTCACTTCAATGTGTTCATCTGCTAATGGTTCATTTTACATCATCAGTGGTCTTCTATGGTCCTACTAGACCTCCACTATCTCCCTCTTTTCTTAAATTTGATTTGTTTGCAAATCCCCTAATCTACTAATGGTCCAAAATGCCTCCCATGCATAGGCTCTATGGAAGTATGTTTGAATTCATTGTAATGTTAGAAGTAACATCTTTAACTAGGAATTGGCTCAATAACGAGCCCAGCTGTATCCTACATTCCAGGTCCAGTTTTAGAGGTTAAACTTCATGCTTTCGGAGCTCTGCAATCTGCATTTGCACAAATTTTTAAACGTACTCCAACCTACCAGGGATGTTCTCCTTGTTTGTTGAAGCTGGTTTCAAATGGAAAATTGAACCCAAGGTAGTAGAATTATGATGACATTTCAACATAATCTGATTATTGGATTTGACTTCAATGTGTTGGATGGTTGTGAAAAATTTTCTTCCTGAAAGGCATATGTTTTCATTGATATTGTGTGGGCTGTTTTATGCATTGCAAATTTAGTGTTTTCAGTGCCAGCTTTTTTTGCTGACCTCTTCCCTTTAACTCGTGAATTCTAATTGTTTGAAGTGATGACTTGCAAATTGGTCTTCAGTTATTGGATTCACTGTCTTGTTGATCATTATTCATTACTGGCTAGGGTGTTGAAACAAAAAAATTTATTTTGGTTTAACTACTACCATCCTTGGTGGCCTTAAACTAAATAATATCTTTGCAGATTTCCAAATTGATAATTTGTGTATAAGAATAAGTTTCTCAAAAGCAGTGTTTTTTAATCAAGTTATTCGTTTCTAAACTTTTATAGTGGTTTTCAAGTTGGCAAAGAGAAAACCTGATGACAACCTGCGTACGCTGCATAGTATACTCTTTGGGAAAAAAGAAAAGGTGACACACCATCTTAGTTCCTTGGGTAGATTTGCATTGTTTTCGACAAGTTTCATTTTTTTTTTCACCTTTACGTTTTAGTAAGGGTGCATTAAAACTCTAACACTGGCTGTTCCTTGAATGTTAGTGACATGTTTTGTTGTGTAGGCACAAAATTTAAAGAGGAATATAGGCCTGTTTTCTGGCTATGTGTGGGCTGAAAATGAGGTACAGTTGCATTATATGCTGTATTACTGCTTGTTTTTTATTCTTAACTATGCAGGAATCTTAATGGATTTTGTGTGCGGGTTATCTTCTTTGTTATTGGCTAGATTTGCATGTTGTCATTTCTTAAACATTTGAATGTCTAAGGCTGTAACTAACCCGCAGTTAAAATACTATGGTTTTATAATTCTTGACAGGAAAAACAAAGAGCCAAGATACGGGAGAAGATTGACAAATGTGTGAAAGAAAAGTTGGTGGACTTCTGTGATGTGCTCAACATTCCAATAAATAAGACTGGTATGAAAAAAGTAAGTATGGACCTAATATTTGTCTTTTCTGGTATGGTATCATAGGCTTTGTCTTTTAATTTTTATTAAATATTAATAAGACATTATTTCAGGAGGAACTGTCTGCAAAGTTGTTGGAATTTTTGGAGTCTCCACATGCCACGACCGATGTTTTGCTTGCCGATAAGGAAAAGGTTTTCTTTTCTTCTTTCTTTTCTAAGTTTGTTATTGTAAAAGGATAAGGATCAAGTGACTTTTGTGTAAATCGTGACATAAAATTAATCCACACTGTTACCTCTCAAAAATCGTACTACTATTCATGTTATTTTTGAAAGTTTTGTACTCCAACCTAATATCTTAAAGTTAAAAAATTATAGACTTTCCAAACATAAGAGAAATTAAACCATGATATAAGACTTATTTTTTCCAATTTTCATCATATTTAACTTGTGAGCTCAGAATGCCAATTAATTCAACAGTTGAATCAATCAAAATTCAAAAGTACTCGCTTTAAGCTAGTTGACCATGTGTGCCCTGCCCTGTATTAGTAGTATCATTGAATCCTGACCCTTGGTATAATTATACTGTTTTTAATTTGTTTTATAATTTTATTTTGTTGGAGTTAGTTTTCTGAAGCTTGTTTCTATGCTGCAGAAAGGTAAAAAGCGTGCCACAAAGGCAACCCCAAGCAAATCTTCTGGGGAAGCTTCTGAAAAACCTGCTAAGGTGTGTTGTCAAACTATCCTTTAAATTCATTCTGGCTTGCTGCATATCTGTTATGCATTAGCCTTTTTTGGGCACTCTCTTGCATCAAAACCTGGTGGTGAATGCTTGATTCTTCATGTAGCATGTGGTGATCCGATTTACGGTGATGATTCAGTATCTTCATGTTGCTTAACGAGTCTTGTTTTGATAATTGGAACAATCTGAAAGTTTTAATAATTCTGGTTTAAATCTAATAATTGAACCCCTTACTTCTAATGTACCACTTGATACTCATAGCAAAAGAAAAAAAAAGTTCCTTTTGGTCAGTAATGCAGTTGTAAATGTATATTGTGAATGTTATGCTTGTGGTTTGGTGACCTTAAGTCTAGTTTTTTAAGGAGGTAATTTTTTTTTACTAGTTAAGAACTGAAAGGTGAGCCTTTGTTAATAGTTGATTTTGTTTGTTAATATTACATTTTATAGCAGATTTTCTTCAGTTCCAGTTGCTGGAATTGTGCATGTAGTGGACTAGTGTCTTGAGGAAGTTTCTGTTTTGATTATTGGCAATTGCTTTTGATATGTTCTTATAGTGTTTGTGCCTCTTTGGCATTTTGATGAAAAAAGCATGGTATGTTGTTTTCCTGCAAGTTTCCGTGTTCTGTCAAATGTCAACTGGGAAAGCCGAGATGCCTTCACAGATTTTCATCTGGATATGAATATTCTGTTGCTGATGCGACTTCAATTAGAACCATGTCAACTCCGGTGGATTATTAGTTATAGTTTTTTGTTGCTTCTAAAAAATTCATGGCTCAGTTTTCTCTACCTTTTTGTTTCCATGGAAGATCTCGGATGTAATTTATCTCATTCTGCAAGCAAGAGCATTAACTATGATGTGGCTTAAAAAATATTTTTCTTTTGTTTTGATTCCTTTTTATATTTTATCTGGCTTTAGAAGCACAAGCAAACTTCACAAGTTGGGAAAAAGCGAAAGCAGTTTTCTGACATTGAGGAAGATGATACAGCTGAACTTTCAGATGTAATGGTTGATTCTCAGGAAGATGAAGATATTTCAGTGCCAAAAAGTGAAAGTAATAATGAGGAAAGTCAATCAGAGGAAGAGGAAGATAAACAGAAAGCTCACAAGTCTACTTCAAAACAGAATGCGATGGAGATTCAAAGCACCCCTGTAAAGAAGACCACGGATGAAAAAGCTGCCAAGAGCAATGAAAAAACTCCTAAAAAATCTAATTTGAAAACGAATATTACTGACGGTACTTCTGCCTCTTTTTCTAAGTCAAAGCAATCTGCGTCCAAGAAACAGAAAACTGTAAGGGAAAACCAGGGCACTACAGGGAAAACCGCTTCCAAGTCTTCAAAGCCTTCGGTTAAGGATCAAGGTGCGATCTTTCTCATTGCAGTTTATGATATCATATATACTTCTTAATCTCGTGACAATAGTCATAGTTAGTTGCTCAAAATTTATTTTTAGAAAGTATTATCAATTTTGATTTAGCAATCTTGCCAAACTATCCCTGGAAAATTTATCCTCTACATAAAATCTTGTTACATTTGGACAGTTTATATAAAAACTTGTAATTTTATAGGATTCAATTTTGTTATCAACTGTGGCTGTTACCTTGTTTTTTTGGCTTACCCATTCCATTCTGATGCCAATGGCAGGAAAAGGTAAAGGTGGTAAGAAGGCCAAGACAGAACCTAGTTGGGAGGATATGCATCGAGTGGTTGCCGATATTTTGAAGGAAGTAGATTTCGAGACTGTGAGTAAAGTTTTTTTTGTGCCATTTCATGTTTTGTTTAAAAAATAAGGTTTTTAAATTTTGTGTTCCTTGATGCAGACAACTTTATCTGATATCCTCGGTCAACTTGGTATGACCTTTTCTACTGCTAAATTCTCTCTCCCTTCCCAAAAAAAAAGAAGGGAAATGATTTCTTGAACTCAGCTCATTTCGTAATGAAATGTTGGCAGGTACCCACTTTGGCTTGGATTTAATACATAGAAAAGCAGAGGTGAAGGATATAGTTACAGATGTGATTAGCAATATGTCTTCTGATGAGGACGAGGAAGTAGAGGAAGTTGAAAATGATGCCAATGATGATGATGCATGATTGTAGTTGGGTAAATAATCTTTAGACCCGTATAGAAATTAGATGCATGTCTTTCATTCTACAGCTGGATTTTCTCTGCATGATTCTCTTAACAGCAGTCTCAATGGATCATAGGCTCCAGTAGATATTTGGTTCGGGTTGTGTGACCCTTTACCATCGTAGATATTCTGAGCCAGGTTGTATTTTGTACCCTATTAGATTTAACCTCTTTCTCTGTATTACTGTTGTGAGTCTTGTGACCTTAATTTTATTTCTTTTATTGAATAGTTTGTTTATTCCCTTGCCTGTAAACTATTGCCTTTTAATTTAGATCAATATGTATTTATTTTTTTAAAACAAAAAAGTTGGAACTAGATTGCTGATATTTGAAAAATTAAGATGGTTGTGATGATTTTCCTAGCTTCTTGGGATAACCGTTTGCCCCTTGTATTTATCTTGATGTACAGTTTGGATTTCGAACTTGGGAGTCTGGTATTGTGATTAAAGTTCGGCGCGGATGAAATTTTTATGTTCATTTCTTAGGTTGCAGCATATCTTCCGTTAACTAAGTCTAGCGTTCTATTTAATGCGCACATGACATGAGTGGTACAAATGACATCAATATATTACTATAATAAGGGGGTGGTATTTTGATGCGGATCTTGAGGTCAAATAACTTAACGCTGTGGTTTTCTTTTCTGGGTAAGATATGCAGAAAAGAAAAGAGAAGCATGGACTTCCATTCTGATATCCAAGCAATAAAAAAAGACTACACCCATGTTCTTTACAAAGAAAAACTAGAGATGTAGCGGGACCGTGTATTTTTTTATGATATATATTTGTGTTACTCGGGTGAGAAGATAAGGTGCTTTTCCATAATATAACCAGCGCCCCCCCTTCCCCCTCCCCTCAAATTTCAACTCAGCCCCCATGCTTCATGTGGTATGCCTTTTAAATTATATATAATTTTGCCTCTTCATGAAAAGTATTTTTCTTTTAATTTAAAATTTTAATTTATATATACGAAAAAAAGATAGTTAGATTGCATTATCATCGTTGAATTGTGATTGAATCATGATTTTTTAATGGGGCATTTGCATGTATTCTATTGAAGGTTTAACATTGTTTAGTTTGTTAAGCGAAATGGGAAATGAGAAATGCGAATGTAAGGATTGAATTTCCACTACATAACACACCACAGCCTCTTGGTAAATACGAGGGGAGATAGCACTTGAATTAGGCTCGACTTGTTATTAGTGTAAATAATGTGCGGAGCCACTTCCTTATGTTAGAAATTAAACTTTTTTTTTATTTAGAAAACGTTGATAACAAGATTTAAATTTTGAACCACTAAAAGTTTTAATATTATGTCATAAACAATTCTCTAAAAACATAAGCAAATAATTTTATGAGGAGGGTTATATTGATAAGATTTTTTTTTTTTTTTTTACAAACTATATTATGTCTTACCGATAAGATTTTATTCAAAAATGTCTTACCGGTGAGACATAATATAATTTATAAATATAACATTTCCCTAATTATATACTCCTACGATGTTTTAACATTAGCATGGGCAAAATAAAAGGATTCAAACCCAAGGTGTAGCTCAGTTGGTAAACGGACTGCTCAAGGGCCAGACTCTTATGGCTAATGAAGTCACGAGTTCGATTCCGACAAGAAATACTTTGGGACCAGTAGTGAAAATCTTCTGGCTCCAAGCCACAAAAGGATTAGTCTCATCTTACGGAATAAAGACATTCATCTCTATGAGAAGCATTCTGGGGTTATTGATGAAAACATTTTCGTCTCAAGCCATAAATCTCACTTCAAGCCACGGAGGAATTAGTCTCATCATACGAGATGGGAAGACCTGAATTCACTAAAAAAAAAAAATTAAAGGATTCAAAACAAACCAACGAGCTTACAACTCATCTCTTTCAAAAACAGTGCCAGAAACATCAGGACCTGAGTATGGACCCCAATCTCAATGCCCATGCTTCTCTCCACCATTAACACAGGCATTAACTATTTAGCTTCACTATGCAAATAGTGCCATTCATCGCTATACATTGTTGACAAAGAAGTCAGGTTGTAGTCAGTAGATTCTTGGAATTCGGCCTCCTCGGAGATTAGTTTCTCTCTTCTTCTAGTGACACTAATCCAATACATCATTTATTTCAATAAGGAGCTAATTTTAAGACAGTATTCTAAAAACAGAGGAGGTTGAGTGGAGATACTAAAATTATCTACCCAAAAAAAAAAAAAAGTCTGTTTGCTTAGCTTTACGAGTTACGACTACAATCGTACTTAGTTCAGACCATACTTAGACCAGAGCTAACTTATATTGATGGTTTAACATTGTTTTTAGTTTGTTAAGCGAAATGGGAAATGAGAAATGAGAAATGTGAATGTAGGGATCGAATTCCCACTACATAACACACCGCAGCCATTTGGTAAATATGAGGGGAGATGCCACTTGAATTAGGCTCGACTAGTTATTAGTGTAAATAATGCGCGGAGCCACTTCCTTATGTTAGAAATTAAACCTTTTGTATTTAGAAAACGTGGATAATAAGATTTAAATTTTGAATTACTAAAACTTTTGATATTATGTCATAAGCAATTAATTCTCTAAAAACACAAGCAATGAAAATACATGAATAATTTTAAACCCCTACGACATCTTTAACGTTAGCAAGGTAAAAGGATTCAAAACAAACCAACTAGCTTGCAACTCTCATCTCTTTCAAACAGTGCCAGAAACATCAGGACCTGATCGAAAGTATGGACCCCAATCTCAATGCCCATGCTTTTCTGGACCATTAACACAGGCATTAGCTATTTAGTTTCACTATGCAAATAGTGCCATTCATCGCCATTCATTGTTGATAAAGAAGTCAGCTTGCTTAGCTTTACGACTACAATGACCGTACTTAGCCAGACCATACTTAGTTACACCATCAGCTCAGGCATTATCTTCACTATAAACATGGCCCCATATATGTCACCATACATTGTTGCCAAAGAACTCTGTCATTTGCTCTAACATATTTCATTTACTGTACGAAGCCAACTTAGCACTACCATTCTTTGAACACCCGTCTCTAAATACAAATTACACTCTTTTTTGAATTGTGATCAGGTTCTTGTACGATGGCAAATAAACTTTATATAAGGAAAGGAGAACCAACCGTAGTTCTACCTGCAGAAGAAACAAAAAAGGGCTTCTACTATCTTTCAAACCTTGACCAGAATATAGCCCTTCCAGTTCGAACAGTTTACTGTTATAAGTCAGCCTCTAGAGGCAATGAGGATGCTGCGCAAGTCATCAAGGAATCCTTGTCAAAGATTCTTGTTCACTATTACCCTATGGCTGGCAGGTTGAAAATCAGCTCAGAAGGGAAGCTGATAGTAGACTGCACAGAAGAGGGTGTTGTATTTGTTGAGGCTGAAGCAAGCTGTGTGATTGAGGACTTGGGAGATATGAAAAAGCCTGACCTTGAAACTCTTACAAAACTGGTTTATGATATCCCTGGTGCAACCAACATACTTGAAATACCTCCTCTGCTAATTCAGGTTTGTGGTTAATTTGAAACTCTCATGAATTACTACTCTTCCGTTAAACTTAAATAAGTATGTTCTCAGGGTTGTGGACCACATCGATCTCCACAAAAGTTATTAAGTATATATATGACTAATTTTTATACAGCAACTTTTTTTTTTGTGGGATTCATATAAAAGTGAATGGAATGGATCCTTTAATTTTGTCTCTTCACAAGACCTATTCGTTTTTATATGGATATGGTAGAAAAAAATTTATGCAGCTAAAGTAGAAAGATTTTTTCCTATATACATATTGGATTTTTTCAATTTGTAATAACGAACTTAGTTTCAAATTTTGTAGGTCTAGTGGTCATATTGTTAGCTGAACTCGAGATTTCAGATTAAAGAGAATAACTTCTTAATTTTTTCACACTTACACACAAATGGTATGGTTATGGGTATATATTTATAGAGTTTTTTATAAGAGTTATGTTGTAGGAAAAATGATTGTGTAATGTTATAGAGATTCGTTTTGCGTGCCGTAATTTTTTTTTTTTTTAAAAGTGTGGGCCCCACAAAATGTTGTGTGTAGGAAAGTTTGTTGTGTCATGTTAAATGACAAATGCAAACCCCGTATTTATATCAAATCTTCTCTTTCAGGTGACAAAGTTCAAATGTGGAGGATTTGTTTTGGGGGTAAACGTGAACCATTGCATGAATGATGGTTTAAGTGCAATGCAATTTGTGAACTCATGGGGTGAGACAGCCAGAGGCATAGACTTAAAAATTCCACCATTTCTGGACCGAACCATACTCAAAGCGCGCAACTCTCCTAAAATAGAGTTCCCACACAATGAGTTTACTGAAATTGAAGATGTATCAGATACCAGCAAACTTTATGAGGAAGAGATGCTCTACAGGTCCTTCTGTTTCGATCCTGATAAGCTTGAGCTGCTGAAGAAAAAAGCCACAGAAGATGGTGTTTTGAAGAAGTGCTCCACTTTTGAAGCACTCTCAGCTTTTGTGTGGAGATCTAGAACTGAAGCCTTAAGTATGCATCCTGATCAACAAACGAAGCTACTTTTTGCTGTTGATGGAAGGTCTAAATTTGTGCCACCAATACCAAAGGGGTTCTTTGGCAATGCTATTGTGTTGTCAAATGCAATGTGCAATGCATGTGAGTTATTGAAGAAACCACTTTCATTTACAGTGGGATTGATAAGCAAAGCAATAGATATGGTCACAGACAGTTACATGAGATCTGCTATTGATTATTTTGAAGTCAAAAGAACGAGGCCTTCACTAACGGCAACCCTTTTGATCACAACATGGACAGGGTTATCTTTCCACACTACAGATTTTGGATGGGGGAAGCCTCAGTCTTTTGGTCCTGCGACTTTGCCAGAAAAGGAAGTCATTTTGTTCTTATCACATAGTGAAGAAAGGAAAAGCATAACTGTGCTCCTGGGTTTGCCTGCCTCTGCCATGAAAAAGTTTGAAGCATTGATGGAGATATGAATGAATGAGATGAGACCACATGAGTTTTTTCGTTCATTAGTTATGTCGTATGGCTCTTTGACCGACCGATGGGGGTTTTTTGTGATGTTAATTTATGAATTTGGTATTTGGTTGAAGGTATTTACGAATTGGGGTCATTTAGTGACGCGAGGGGGACCCAGCATCACTGAGTGCCGCTACCATCCCCTCGCGTCACTCTCACTTTTTTTATTTTTTTTTTACTTTTTTCTATTGAGGGTCGCCCCCCTCCCCTGGGGCACTCACAGAATTGTGCCAAGTGGCACAATCTGGTTACTCTTATTACCGTAAAACTTCAGAAAGCCATAACTTTTGACTCGGGTATCCAAATCAGATGATTTTTTTTTTGATTTCACATAACTTTCCGAAATCTACGCAATGACATCTCATTTGACATATTTTATCTCTCACAAACATAATTTAAATCTGTAAAAAAGTGTAATTAGTGTTGCACATTTGAACTATATTAATGGAAGATAAAATATGTCAAATGAGATGTCATTGCGTAGATCTCGAAAAGTTATGTGAAATCAAAAAAAAAATCATCTGATTTGGATACCCAAGTCAAAAGTTATGGCCTTCCGAAGTTTTACAGTAATAGGAGTAACCAGATTGTGCCACTTGGCACAATTCTGTGAGTGCCCCAGGGGAGGGGGGCGGCACTCAATAGAAAAAAGTAAAAATAAAAATAAAAAAAGTGAGAGTGACGGGAGGGGATGATAGCGGCACTCAGTGACGCTGGCCCCCCTCGCCTCACTAAATAACCCCCTGTTCGTAAATACCTTTAACGCAATACCAAATTGATAAATTAAAGAAATTAAAACCCCTAATGGGTGAAAGAGCCTATGTCGTATGCGTGTTTTGCTTATATATAATTGTTGTTTTCTTATTGAATAAAGTTTAAAAGGATATGTTATAGTTACAACTTACAAGAGAAAAGAACATTTACTGCCAGAGGGTAACTGTTGATCATTAAGATGTTATTATTTAAGTTTAGGGTTTTATTTTTCTTACATTGCATGAGACAAGTTGTCTCATGCAACACACAAAAAGTGAGTGGGACCCGCTTTTTTATTTTCTCTCTCTTCTTATTTAGTGGGTCTCATTCACTTTGTGTGTGTTGCATATAAGAAAAATAAAACCCTTAAGTTTAAAGTTGGTGTGCATGAATAAATTTGGAAATAATTTTTTTTCTCAATGGTTATATCCTACCGGCTACGGCAATCAACGCAGCAAGTGCAAAAATCGAAAAAAATCCTTCTTAATTAGTAAGTCTCTATTTCGATTCAAAATAACTTATAATTCAAAGTTTGGGCAAAAGTACTGTACTGAGTATTTTTTGAAAAAAAAATTTCAATTAAAAGCATATTTGATAAGTTTTATCGGACTAATGCACTCAAACGCGTCAAAGAAAATGACGGGACCAATTCCGTCAAATTATAGAAACAGTTCCATAGGAGTAGTTGACGGGACTCAATCTCGTTAGGGACAGTGACGACACTCCCATTCCAGATCACTCCAAGTATCTCCATCCCGTCATACCTATTCAATTAAAATACCTATTCCGTCAAACTCTATGAGGGATATCTTAAATCCAAATTCAAAAATTGTTACTTCAATATTAATGAATGGAACATAAATAAGGATAGGGCTTAAAAATAAATAGAGGTACTGCACAAGCCACTACACAAAAAGAGTATTCTTGATGTCTCATATTTTATGAATTTTGGTCAGTGTTGTTAAACTTGACCCGAACATCGACCCGGTCGGAGCACTGGGTCACTGGTCGGACCGGTAGGTCGTTAGTTGGACTGGTTGACCCGGATATATATAGATATATAAAAAAATATATAAATATGAACCTATAAGTTCAATTATATTCTCCATATATAGAATGAATTAAACAAAGTTCTTTAAATAAGCTAAAAAACACGAAGCATAAATAAATAAAAATGCACGCTATTACTATGTCAATTTAAATTGTAACTCAAAATCCTCATAAACATACCTCTCAATGACATTGAACTCATATGTTTCAAATTCAACTACATTAAAATGGCATATGTCACATTCTCTTAATTTATTATTCTGCAAATTGCTGCAATATTGAAAACTGAAATTTGAGATCATTACAGAAGAATGTACTAGTAAATAAAATTACAAAAAGTTTATAAAATGAGTTCTACATTTTTTTTATAAGATGAAATAGTTTTGATTTTTTAGTTTTTTTTTTAAATGCATGACCCGACCGGGTCACGGGTCACCGGGTTTGTCCGGGTTTTGACCGGGTCGATGCATGACCGGTCCAATGCTTGACCCGAACCGGTCCGATGACTGGTTCACCGAGTTCCGGTTAGACCCGACCGAGTCGGGCCGGGTTTTACAACAATGATTTTAATTATCATTTCATTTATGTTTTTATTTTATTTTATTTTCAAAATAAAAATAATATTTTTTTTAATAATTGGTATGATTAGATTTGAAATAATTAATTGGAATCCATTAAATACAAATTTTATGAATTGGCGTGATTATTTTCTTAATAAGTGGTATCACTTTTCTTTAACTATAAATTATCATGTAATTTGTGTATTATAAAGATATTTACACTTATAACTAAAATATAAAAGGTTAAAATAAAAATTAATTTATTTGAGAAAACAATTATTAGTAATATAAAAATTGGCACTTTAAGTTTTTTATTGTAAAGAACATAAACATATTTAATTAAGAAAATATTATTTTATTACTGATTCATAATATTTCATAATATTTAATGTTTATCAAAACAATTTAAATATAGGTGTAAATATCTTTTATAAAGATAAAAAAAAGTGATACCATTCATTAAAAAAATAATCATACCAATTCATAAAATTTGTATTTTATGGATTCCAAGTAATTACTTTAAATATAACCATACCAATTATAAAAAAAACATAAAATATTGTTTTTATTTTGAAAATAAAATAAATTTATATTAAAATTCATAAAATATGAGACATGTAGTGGCTTGTGCAGTGCTTACATTTATTTTTAAGCTCTTTCCTTATTGTTCCATTCAAGATACCCGTCAAATGTATCAAAAAGTTTGACTCGACTGGTATTTTAATTGATCTCGCCAACAAGTATGACGGGACTGATAACTAACGTAATAACACCTAACGGGATTGGTCTCTCATTTTCTTTAATGCGTTTGACTGCATTAGTCCGTAAAACTTATCAAATATGCTTTTAATTGAAAAATCTTTCTCAAAAAATTCTCAGTACAGTACTTTTGCCCCAAGTTTGTAAAGAGGGTTATTGAAAAGAAAAAAAAAATCACCTTTCTCAAAATAATTAAAACAAAACATGCCTTAAATATTAGTTTTCTAAAGAACAAAATAATGATAATAATAATAATAATGTCAGGCAGGTCCAGAGGAGTCCTTGACGGAGGATTACCATCAATGGGCTATAAGACTACACCATCATATCAAGTGATTCAATACCACATCTCAATCCAAAACCTTAAGGCATTGAGTTCATAAGTTTTTCCACTTATATGGACTTCTCACACTTGAATAACCAATCAATCTCCCTCTCAAGTGTGAAACCCATGCTCCCCCTCAACTGATACCTAGATCAAAGTACTCAACCCACTAGCTCGAGCCCAACCCGCCTCTAATACCACTGTCAAGTGAGTCCAGGGGAAGCCCGTGGTGGGGGACCACCACCAATGGGAGACCATCCACATCAAGTGGGTCTGACACTATGTCTTAACCCAAAATTTTAAGGCATTTAGGTTCATGGGTCCTCGCACTTATATTCACTTCACTTGGTCCATTACCAACCAATGTGAGACTCATCACACTTTAATACTCCAACAATCTATCCCTGAAGTGTGAAACTCACCATTGATATGCACCCTCTCAACCGAATACACAGGCCCAAAGTACTCAATCTGTCTCTTATCCATACACTTGGCTAGCCTGAGCCCTACTCGGCTCTGATACCATTGTCAGACGGATCTAGGAGGAGCCCGTGATAGGAGACAACTGTAACACCCTGTGTATACCCGGTAATGTTATCATACTATCGTATTAAGCTGCGCTTAATTAAAAATTGCGGAATATATTTTTTTTTTCCCAATTATGACGTCATTATACTTAGCCAAGTTGATTACTTAATCAATTTCATAAAATATCGTCTGTATGTAAATTGTAATAAGACATCTACTGAAATACCTCAATATATAAATATAAAGTGAGTATCTAAGTCACGGATCTACAACTCGTAGTCCGGACAGTATCCTGATACATTAATACAACTCTAAATAAAACAAGACATAATCAAGTCTACGTGGCATGGACAATCCCCATGCTCACCAAATCAATAACATAAACAACAAGTCTCAACATAAGAATCCAAAATCATAAAGAAGCTAAAAGCATAAAAGCAGCATGCATAACCAGCATCCAACAAGCCAGCATATAATAACAGCAATATCTAACTCAGCTCCGGTCTCCTACCGCCTGATGTCTCAACCCCAACATTACTTGAACCTGAAATAAGCATTCCCCAAACGTGGGGTGAGATCTCTAAACCAGAAATCTCAGTAAGATAAGGGGTCCTCAAGGATCTTCCACCCCAAGCTCACTTACATGTGCAATATAAGTTCTAAAAGCATTTATATTAATATAAGTTCCAAAACTATGCAGTGCAACAGATATTCATGCCATGTGTGTTTAAACTATTCTACTGGCCAGAGAAATGCAGGAATACGTCTATCACTACATGTAGTACAAGGAACACCGCTTGCACCTCACCCACAGTCTCACCATATTGTATGTACCACATACTCAGACTTACCGTATAGGTGGAACACCACATGCATATCATAAAGGCACTAGCATATAACAGCTCAATAGCATTTCCAAAACATCAAAAGCATGTAACACAACATGCATATACCATACCCCCATGGGACATGGTGGAACCACAACATGGCTAAACCGAGGATACGAAAGCTTACCTTGCAAGCTAGCTATCCAAGCCAAGAGTCCACATTCTCAAAGCCCAAACACAGCAGTATCACAATCTGTTATGGACCAATAATACATCATTAATCAAACTCTACAAGCATACACTTAAAGACAACGTCTTTCCTTTACGTTTTACGTCTTAAGACTTCTAACAAAGCCACAAGCCCTTAATCACATGATTCTGACTTAGTTCATTAATTATTGAAGTTCAACTTCATCAATCTAGGGTCCACAAACCCCCAATAGCCTACTGTACATACAGCACAGCTACTGTTATACGAAATTCCAGAATATTCGGATATTCCTCGGGGACATATCCGGATATCCAATATCCGGATATCCATATGGCAATATCCGGATATCAATATCCGAATATCAATATCCGGATATTTCACGAGCAAATATCCGAATATTTCGCGAAGATATCCCTCCAAGGTTCCATTTTTAACACTTCCAGAAGCGCTTAAACATGCATCTTAAGGTCCATTTAGGTTCAACTATCAGTTGGTTACATGTTTAACTCATTTACATGCAAAGACATCAAATTTAACTCCTTAAACTCATGAACAAAGGTTGGTGACACTTACCAATGCCCAAAACAGAGGAAGAATAGCTCTTGGAGCTCACAACTCAGATGCTAAGGTACTGTCCCTCAAGGTGCACGAAAATGAGCAGCAAACAAGTCTCTTCCTCACCAAAGGTGGCTCCTTGGACCCCCAAAAATGAAGCACAAGGTTCACTCACCCCTCAAACCCAAAGTCAGCCCCTGTTCTCACCAAGGCAGTAGCTAGCAGGAACTCAGAAAAACAACCCTTTTTTTCTTCCCAAGGCTAGAATGCACTCACTCAAAGAGTTTTCATGAAGAACTCAAGAGAAAATGAGGTCTCTTGGTGACTCAAATGGAAGGAGAAGGAGGTGGAAAGGTGGCAGGTGTCTCACTCTCAGCAAACTCACGTAAAGAGAAAGGAGTCTAGGGTTTTGTGCCCATAATAAGAGTATATATAACCACTTAAGCATTAAACATGCAGTATTAAATTAATTAGCTACGCTTAGCATTATAATCCCAAACTTTGGATTCTTAACCTACTCAATTTTACAAGAATTATCATATTTTTATTATATTTTTCGGAGCACCTTTCCGGTACGCGCTTTTCATAGCCAGTATCATTTTCTGGCATCAGTTCTCATTATTTTAACTTGAAACTCATTTTACAAGTCCTATATATTATTCTAGGAATTATCATGCACTTATTATAATTTTCCGGGATACTTTTTCGGTACGCATTTATACCGACTAGCAGAACCGGTATCTACACTTTTCTTCCGAAAAGCGACTTTCAGCATTCTTAATCACTTATCATAATTATTAAAGCCTCTTAATAATTATTAGGATCAATTATGGAATCATTTCCTAATTTAACATAATTAATTACTTAATTTCCTTAATTAACGGTGCAGGTTCTTACAACAACCACCGATGGGCTAAGGCTACATCGATCAACCATAGCATGTGGGTCCGACACCATGTCATAACCCAAAACCTTAAGTCACTGGGTTTATAAATTCTTCCACTTATATGGACTTCATTTAGCCCACTAATATGTGACTCATCACACTTGAATAACTCAAATAATAATAATAAGGGTTTATTGTGTCCTTTTAAAGGATATAAGTTTATGTCATTTCATCCCTTATAACTAGGTACTCCGGAAAATACATAATTATAATATGAAAGTTGCTTTTTTTCTCTCTCCACGTCAGCCAACAAATTTCTGAAGAGAAAAAGAAAGTAATTTTAATTTTATAACTATGTATTCCCCACATTACATATTTATAAGGGGGTGAAACATATAAACTTATATCATTTAAAAGTACAAATAATTTTCCCTAATAATAATAACTTTCATTTATTTTTTACTTAAAATATGCAAAAACCCTACCTCTAATATTATACAAATATCATATTTTATGTGTGTGGTTAAATATAAATTTCTTGCAAGAAAGCTTTTGCCTTTCCTTAAATGATGCAAAATATGAAATACAAGAGTGCTCAATGAGATGATCATGATTGAGATTTCATTGCATAAAAATAACAAAAGAAAATTTGAGTAGTTAACTAGCATTCAGTTAGATTACAATATCGATCTCTCTCCCCCTTCCCTCCAAGAAGGAAACAAAAGAAAAATAAAGAAAAGATACATATATCATGCATGAAAGAAAATCTGTTTAACAAAGTCACAAATTACAAGTCTCTTAAATTAATAAATGGTCATTGTGGATCCTATCACTGTATCACGTATCTACATGATTGATCGTTTACTTACATACCAAAAGCTCATAATCGGCAGCAAAACTCAGGTTAGAACGATAAGACATTGGACTGTGGAAAACTGAGGAGCTCTGCTTGTGACCCATTGGAAAGTTGCAACCAACAAAACCCGTATCATCCTCAGTGCTCTCCATCTCTGCCAATGCCTCACAGAAAAAATCAACATTGCAAGGTAACCATAGGGGACCATCGTTTCTATAACCATATTCATTCTCAGCAGCATCCAAAAGAGTCTTGAACAAAGGGTGGTTTGTGAGCTTGATCTTTATTACGAATCTTTGTCTCTCATGTCCAACGTAGACAAAAAGACAACCCTGCGGAGCCACTTGAGGCTTATTCTTCTTATTCTTTTGTATGTGCTTCTCTGATAATTTTCCATATTTGCCACTGTCTGCTTCTTCAGCATGCAATCTCTTGCTGCTTCTGCATACCCTCTTACACTTCTTCATCACAAAGTCCATTTTTTTAAGAAAATAAAAATCTTTCTCTTTCAGTCTTTCAGAAGAGGTGAAAGGGGGAGAGCAAGAGATTGACGGGTGTGTTTTGTTTGTGAATGATGGGGAAGCTAAACTTAGTTATATAGAGGACTTAGTCTCACACGGTCGCACTTTATTCACAAACTCACAATATTGGTCTTTCTTTATGTGGATTTTGAATTTTGAATTTTTTTTAAAGCTAAGTATAAGATATTTCGGCGGGCCAGGATTACATCCACACGGTGGGATATTGAGGAATAAATTACAAAAGGAATTACTAAAGTAGTAATAGAAAAAGTCAAAAAAAAAAATTAAAAAAACTGTTTAATGATTATATAAAGTTATTTTTAGGATTTTGAAGTAAAATAATGGAAAAATTCATTATTAAAGTAAATTTTTAGGGTAAAGGGAAAAACTTATAACTAAAATAAAAATAAAAATTTCAAAAAAAGGCCAGCCATCTTGGCAAAAATATTTCTTAGAAATTTTTTATTTTTTTATTCATTATACAAAAATGATTTTTATAATAAAAAATTTTATAAAAAAATATTTGGCTAAATTTATCTTACAAAAACGAAAAAAAAAACCCTCCAAATTAATAACTTGTATTATAGAAAGAGAGATGTTAACCGGCCGAGCCGAGTCGAGTCTTGGTCTTAAAAAGCTATGTATGTGTTTAAATGTGTCAGCCTGACCAAGACTGTTACCTGTTATGAATATAATTATCGACATGTGGCCTGACTTATTTACAAAAATAAAAACCTGGTTTAGCCTGTTTTAAAAAAATAAGACAACAAAAATTTATCCAAACAGAATATAAATTCAACAGCACTAGTAATTCGATAAATATTCCTAAATTTAACATATATCCAAACAGCATAATATATAACAAAATCATTCAAGAAGTCTATTTAACCAATAAGACAATAAAAATTTATCCAAACAGAATATAAATTCAACAGCACTAGTAATTCGATAAATATTCCTAAATTCAACATATATCAAAACAGCATAATATAGAACAAAATCATTCAAGAAGTCTATTTAACCAATAAAATAGAGTGAAATGGATTGAGGAGATAGAGAGGACTATTACAAGTAGTATAAAAAATAAAAATAAAAATTAATATATTAGACCTGCCTGAGAGGCTTTAAGGCCGAACTTTTGAATTTGGGCAAAGAGCTTTTTTATTAAACGAGCTTTTATACAAATTCAAATCTGGTACCAATAACCAATTTTAGACATGTAAACTCAAGTATTCACGAGTAAAGTCAAAGGTCCTTGAAAAGCTCATAGTTCATTTATCACCCTTTTATATATATATATATATATATATATATATATATATATATATATTACTCCAATGTATTATATATATTTAAGAGCGAATAAGAATAAACTCGATATATATTTGGTAGGTGGGAACTGGGGAAGATATATTCCTATCCCAAATCCAAGAATAAGCAACGAAAAAATAACGGAAGAAAAGTGTTCCTCGTTGTGCTGTCAATCCTGACGGGTCAACCTATATTTCGTCAATAAAATCACAACTTTCCAATTCGATCCACTTGGACAAAACGCACATGGGATTTTAATAGGTCATGATGTCATATGCCATTGTCTGCTTCCTCGTTAAGTCAATTGTGGATTTGATTTTTTTATTCTATAAACTGACTTTAATTTATGCATGTCCTCAGTAACGTTGATTCTCGATCGCTTTCAACCCAGTGGAAGAAGGTCGTTTCAGTCAATTCAATTATTGTAAACTTTCGTCACTTGTAATAAAAAAAAATCAAAAGAAGCATGCGAGAGCACCTTGATTGTCATGAATTAATTAAGGTGAATGCAGACCGCTTTTTTATCTTATTATAAAGTGTCTAATTATATAGGATAAGTTTATGTATGTATGGGAAAATGCATTAATTAAACTTTGAAAAGTGATACTGAGACAAGTTGCTCCATTTGCTATAGAATCTTCATCCTTTTTATTAGCTTATCAGAATTTAGTTTCACCAATGTTTCTAAATCAAATCATTACTTTCATCTTACGGACACGTGCAAATTAATAACTGCTCCACATCCTCAATTAACACTTTAGTATCAACTTCTGAATTTGACCAGAGAAAGTGGACCGGATTAAACTTCTAGAATTCTTCCAAAGAGAATAATTAGGTGGCAGAGGCATTTCATCTCTCCGCGTGCATGTCTGTACTATCTGTTGACGCTGATATAAATATTACCACAGATCCTTTGACACCGGTGTCAAATTTGAAGTTTGACATCTCATCTGAGAGCCGTTAGATAAAAAAAGATCAACGACTCTGATTTGTAAACATGTGACACCATTGATCTTTTTTGATCTAACTGCTATCAGATGAGGTGTCAAATTTTAAATTTAACACCGGTGTCAAAGGATCTTACCTCATATATATATATATATATATATATATATATATATATATTCGCTTTTTCTGCGATTATTGCAAATAAGTTATCTGCACAAGTTCAATACGATGTCGTTTTAGGACGAAAATCATGGTATTTTTATAATTTTATTTTATTTCAGGATTATAATAGTTTTTATATTTATAATTTTTTAATATTTCAATACCAAAACGACATTGTTTTGGAAATAAATGCAGATAACTTATCTGCATCAAGTGCAGAAACATTTTTCCCTATATATATTTATCATAAAAATATTTATGTAATTACTGCAGATAAGTCATCTGCATTTATTTCCAAAATGATATCGTTTTGGGATTAAAAAAATAAAAAATTATAATTATTAAGAGTATAATAACCTGTTCAGAAATTCACTGAAGAAATTCACTGAGAGAAAGAGAGATGAAAATATGTCCGAATCCTAAAACTACACAACTCTCTGCAGTGCTTAACAATGAGGGTCGACACCGCCACAAGTGTGATCTTCAAATCCGAAATTAACATTGGCTTCAGAAGATGCAGCTGAAAAAAGTGAAGAGATAAGTTTGAGATTAGGTTAGGGTTAACAAAGAAAAAAACAATATACATTGAAAGAAAGAAAAAAGAAAAAAATATACATTTAAAAAAAAATTATAACGGTCTTTTTTAGAAAATTTTCAAAAATTTTAAAATTATAAATATTTTTGGTAGTCAAAGCCCTCCACAAAATTATAAAAAATGACAAAATTTGAAAATATAATGTAGCGTTCTCAAAAAATGCCACAGTACACGTAATCATTGGGGGTTTAAATAATTTCTACAAAATAATCTCCACAAATGACACATTCTTTTTGTAGTGCAAGCCCCTCTTACTAGTGAAAAGCTTTTATCAAAAGCCTATCTGTTGTAATTTTGGGAATACTTTTCGCAAACAATAGAAGACAGAACAGTCTAAGAAACAGTAAAGAAAGCATAAGGAGACAGAACACCAGTATTTACAGGTTCAAAAACTCAGTGTTAGTGAGTTTCCTACGTCCTGGGGCCTAAAGAGGGTTAAACGCCCTCTGATATCACACTTTATTCAAAAGATCAGAATCACAAGTATAGAGTTATGGCATACAGATACATCAATATGAAACTAAACATGTCGAGAAACTAATAAAGCAACAAATCAACAAGAATTCAAAGAAAATAAACTCAGAGCTCAAGAAATGGAGCAGATATCACCAATCTTCACAAGACCGTATAGGAAACGTTGTTCCTATCACTGGACCTCCAAGCTAACCACCACAAGCTTCACCGGTCCTCCTTGCAGATTCGTCACTCCACCGTTTGAACACCAACCGAGAATATTCACCGATCAAAAGAATCACCTTGTTGAGATGAACAAGGTTCTCCACAGTGACTAATAGAGATATTCACTCTAGAAGTCAGATTTTACCAAAATCTCTCCCTCTCACAAACCCTAATCGAAGGAACCTTCAAGAAGGTATCAGAGAAAAGAATAGCAAAATATCATGTATCAGAGCAAATGCCACGATGCAAAGTACAACAGGGTCACCAAGGGTTATAAAACCTTCTCATTGAAAAACGACACCGTTTCAATAAGTTGCTCAGCACACAATGGCAACAGCAGCTGATGTATTAAGCAACGGGCTAAGAAACAAAAGGGGCCTTAGACAGATAATAATAGACATCAGCCCATTAAGAGCAAGAAGATAATAAAAGCCCAATGTTTAATATAAATACATACAACACTATCTTAATAGTTTTGTATTGTCTTGTTTCGATTTTCCTTGACTTTGAACATCCACAAGGTTACTAGAGAGTAGAGATCATATGTTGTTCTTTCTGAGAGCCTAATACTTATAAAAGATAATGTCCTTCCATTCAGGAATAGAAATAGACTCTGCCACAGTTGCTGGTTCCTCTAATCATAAGAAACACTTTGGGCTTAAACACACTTGCCTTAGCCTTAGTGATCATGGGGTGTATTCTATATAGGAGTTTTTGCTATTGTTAGTTGTTCGCAAGAATATTCAGATGGAGTAGCTGAAACTTCATCGTATAAATGCTCTCTTGGTGACTCTAGCCTAAAAACAACTTTAGCAAATAATCAAATAGTATATTTGAGTTCTGATGACATGATCTTGTCATAGATCCTTAGAGGTATACCTTGATTATCCAAAAGGCCTTTATCCATTTAAGCATCAAACAGGGAGGGATAATAATATGGAACATATAACGTAATGCTATAATATCATTCATAAAAATACAAAAATACATTGTGTCATCTGACCACTTAGATTGTCTTTAGGACACTTATACTTACATCTAATAATATTTTTAAGTTTTTAAAAGTGTGTTGCATGATTTAGTATGTGATGATTTGTGAAGAAATGAATACAATAATTAATAAGTAATTTTAAGGTTTTGAGATTATCACATCAAATCATGAAGAATGAAGAATAAATTGATAAATCTTAGATTCATGTACAAGGTCAATTAGATAGATTTTAGTCCTACCTTGATTATTTTGAATTGCTTTGGAACAAAGAAA